ATATATATATATATATATATAACTTTATCTGAAGTAAAACTACATAGTTTTCAGCTACCAACATAATAGTTAACATATTTTAGGCAATGAACTTCATTAGAACATTGTTAGTTAGGCACAACAATCCTTCTGGAAGACAGACTGTATTATGAAACACATGCTGGAAGTGCCCCAGGTTGTACCAAAATTGCTACAGCTAGGTGCTGCTGCTATTTGTGCTTGAATGTAATTGTAACCATTATTTTTATGCATATAAATAACTGGACAAAATGCAAAACTGACAGTGTAAAGGTTTATAAATTGGCATTTTTATGAAACACTATGGGATTTTAGATTTTTTTTCAGATGGCCTGCCTGGTTTTGGGTCTGCTCAGACTAGCAGTTAACTTGTTAATCAATCAGAATAAATTAGTTTTTTAAATAGGTATCTGCAGCAGGTAAGATATTAATGGTTCATAATCTTTTTAAAGGGACTAATTTTCAAGGGATGTGAATTATTGCTATTAAACATAAAATAGTGTAACTATTTTTATTTAGTTATTCAGACATCTCTAGGGGTTAAAATAATGAAAGAGGGCCCATCAGTGCCAAGGAAGATATTTCCTATGTCCCCAATTCTCCACCCTCACTCCACCCAAACACACTCACACACACTCTGACCAAGAAAAGACAGAGTCAGACTGATGCAGATAGAAACCTACAAAAACAACCTGAGGTCGTTGTCAGATCTAGAGCTGCAGTGGTTTAAGAGAAAGCACAGTGGCCTGCATTACATTGACACTGATATACTGTATACTGTACAGTACAGCACAGTAGACTGTCTGCTTTAAGGCGATGCAATGGTGGTGCCATGTTTTACTGTCAACATGACAAGTTTCACATTATAGTTTTCATTGTAAAATGCCAAAAGCAATTATATAGTGAATGCAGCTGCTCTTTCCTGTGTTCTTCCAGTCAACATTTAACCAAAAATTAGCAAATACAGTTCAATTAAACAGGCAATGATGCTAAAAATGAGTTTCTAAATGGATGCTTGTCAATTTAAAGGTTAGGGAAATGACCCACATCATTGATCAGTCTTCTTGTAAAACCTTTGATTTGAAGGATCGATTCATTTTCTAAATTAGTTTGTTAACTTAGTTCTTACATTATTTAAAGCTATTCTTGTTGCTTAAATATATAGATATGTATATATTTATGAGAGTATTAATATACCTATGTCAGGTGGTAGCAAAGCAAAGTAGTAAAATAGTTCAAGAATGTATAGGTGGGCTAATCAAGGTTTGAAAGAACTACCACAATTGAGTGTATGTCTTTGGTCACTTTGTGTCCTATGAATCATTTCTTTCAAGTTTCTTGCAGGCACAAAAAGCATCAGTCAATGGGAAAACTGGAACAGAACTTTTGTGGTTTGCCACCAACTCCTCATCAATAACAGATACAAGTCTAGCAGCTTAAGGACATGTTCCCCAAAAAATCTTAATCTCAACCAAAGAACCTTTGCCAGGCAACATTTGTATTGTTTTTCTTTAGATCTGATGGTAACTATGTAATTTGTGAGACATACAGATAAAACAGACATAACAAGGTTGCCATATAATTGGGAGGTGTCAGTCAAAAACTTTTGAGCCAATTAGCAAGTAGAGAAGGCGGCTGAAAAAAAGTATAATGATTGTTCTTTTGCAACAAGGCAGAATTTAGTCACATTCAAAGCTCAGTGAGTGACTCAGCTGGAGATAAGACAGCAGCCACCCAAGAGAAAAGATTCATTTTAACCCTGCTGATGTTGTCAAGAAAGAACTGTCTGGGTCATTTTTTTCACGAGTGAACACATTAACCATTGTGCACCCCTCAGCTCCTCACTTGACTACAGTGTAGCACAGCTAAATCAACTGGTGGATAGTATTATGCTAATTTGAGAATCCCTTCTTTTAATATTAACACTCGAGAAGAGGATGAAGAACACAAAAAGAAAAAAAATAGTCATCAGTGTTTGCATGTATCTAAATATTAGGCACATTAAAGGCTTCACAAACAGCTAGCAGCCCCTTATGAATCCCTAGCACAGCCAGTGCCACGCTGTGCTTAGAACATAATAAGAGTCTGCTCTTTTTTTTCAGCCCACACATACTGTAACAACCAAGAACATGTTATTTTTCCAAAGCAAAGAGCAGCCACTGCATTTAGCTGGTGACTTATTATGCACTTCTCTCAGTTCTTGATAACAATGAGCAAGCTTGAATTTGACTGCTTGTACAGGCCTACTTACAGGGGTACTGCTGAAAAGCAGCACCTCTTACATAGTAGTTCATACTTTCTAAACATTTACACCACCATTTATTTTTACATTACATGGTTATTCCAACAGAAACAAACAACAATATATTCCTGCAAGAAAGGTCCCAAGCTGTACTAAAAGTGCTACAGTTAACACAGTCTTTGCAGCTAATTGTGTAATGCAAAGATGACAACATTAAAAAAGTGTTTCCTGGAACGCTTGCAAAATGTTAAAAGATCTGAGTTGTTTTTAGATGGCAGCAATCCACTTTAGTTTTACCTCACTCAGACTGGCTTTTAGCTCATCAGTCTGGTCAGATTTAATCTTTTTTTTCCAAATTGAGGTTGTTCAAAGAGACAGGGCAGGTAAGATAATACTTGTTCAAAATCTTTTTTACAATTCACCTCTTCAAAAAAAATAACGATCATTTTAAGGAGCAAATAACTCCCAAGTGTACTAGCTGTCATTTCTAAAAAATGTTAGTGTCATGTCATAAGAGAAATCAGATTGCAAGATAATACCAATCAGTCACTCGTTTTTACAACATGTCAAGGCTGAAGAGTATAAATGAAGCCTCAGTGTTGCTAAATCACCACACTCTGTGATTATCACACAAGTCATACTTAAATTTCCTCTTTATATCAATTTTAAATGACATTTTAAATGACTGGTAACCTTGAAGGGCTGAAAAGCACGTGTCAAAATCAGTCAAACACATAGGAAACTGTTAAATGGCTGGTCATCACAGAGACAAGCCACACTTATTTATAGTAGCTGGCCTTGTAGCTGAAACCAAAAATCATTGCTCAGAAATTTATTAACACACATAACATTTGAAAAAAAGGTATAATAGAAAACAATTTGATTTCTTGCACTTGCTTTGTTCAAGGCGCATTGCGCTGACTTAAATTTTCTCAATTTTTTTCTTTTTTTACATAATATCAACACAACATATGCATTTATATATTTTTTTGATTGATTAATATAAGATTCGGAAAATAACTAGAACCTGTAGATGTGTTTGTAAGGAAAAGAAAGCCAAGCTGTGTAGAACTGTGATACATGTATTTCCCCCCTTTACATTCACTGGGAAATCAATGTTAAGAACTAAGCTGAGGCATTACACCACCAGCCTATCTGACCTGCATAGAGCCCCACTGTGAGGTATAATTCAGCATTGTACACCAATTACTTAAAGACCCATTCATGCAGACACTAAGTAAATGCATAGGACCGTAGGACAGGAGTTTGTGTGGGATATCAGTTACATTACTGCCTCCAGCTTTTATGACTGAACAACTTACACACATACAAATATACTGAGAAAAAATACACATCAGAGGAAACTCTTTCTGATTAGAGAAATACAAACCAAAGTTTTATTATGATTTTTATAGCCTCATTGTCTCTCCATAAAAATAGTGCTGCTAAAAAAAAAAAAAGGAAAACACAAAGTAATGTTTCAATGTCCATGGAAAAGCCCCAGTACCAGACATTCATTTGTTTCACTTCAAATCTCTGTGTTTTTCCCCCCAGAGTCGTCAGCAAAGCCTTGTAATACTGAAACACATGTATGTTCTTTTGAAAAAAAAAAACATTGGGATGAGCCCTTGCAGAGACAAGTCAGGCAACTGCAGTAATGCATTACTAAATTAGCCCTAAACACTACACAAGCCAATAAGAAGCATGTCAAAATCTAAGAAGAACAGAAAAAAATGCAACTGATAACAGAAAAAACAACATTTTGCAACAACTGTTATTAGATTTGCATTTCACTTTTTGTCAGTTGAACCAGTGGGGAAATTTGTGCACACTAAAAAAAACACACTTGGACACACTACAAAGAAGGACTGGCACTGTCAAAGAAACACAAGTTTGCTTCAGCCAACAAAGGGTTAAACCTTAGCCGCAGATATACACTGCAGTACCAAAAGCATTTGGCTGATAGCTACTGAACAGCACAATCTATCTGTGCCATTTTGCTGCTATTGGACAAATGTTTGTGTCTATCTTGCTTTTGCTTATGTGCCTTTTATTTTAGGTTTCTTAATCTTTAAAATACTGTTTCATTGCATATAACAACTGGCAAAGTAAAAACTGGTGTGCACATTTGGAGAAATGAATGTCTTTATAAAGATGTTCTAAATATTGATTTAAAACCAACTTAATGCCTCTTTTCTTACATTAGACAGTACTACCTTCACTTTTCAGTCAAAAAAGCAGTTTATTATTATGATTTTTTTAAATACAAGTCACCAGTTATTAGAAAATAGTTTCAAAGTACTTTCTTTTCTAATAGAATCTGCATGTTTTACCACTGTCTGACATTAAGGTCATATATATTTGTATTTTTTTCATATTTATATATTTATGTATAGGCATGTACAAGAAAGAAAAAAAATGTTTTGCACATATTTGTACAAAAGAAAGTTTTGCTCTTTGTGCATTCTATTGCATGGACTTGTGAGCAGATAAGAGAAGATGAGATTGGACAGAGTCTTAGATAGATCCACAGGGAGCATTGCTCAGATTTGGGTCTCCTGAACCTTCTCTTTGCCGTGAGTAGTTTTGATGACGTAAGGATCAGCAATGGTGCTGATGTGGCTGTGATGGTGCCTGACTGAGCGGTGAAGAGAATTGTTCTGAGTCCAGTGGGCTCCGTAGCTCCCTTGTCGAGATGAGGACGAAGATGACACATAGCCAGGCTTAAACGTGTTGCTGTTGTGTTCCACTAATGTCGGCAATACCATATCATCAGAGCCACTAGATCCAGATGTGGGCGGTGGAACAGGAGGAACCTGTTCTTCCATCTGTATGATCTCTATGGTCCTGGCTGCTGCCACCGTACTCCTCTGTTGATGTCTCTTACGCAGTTTGTAGAATGCTATTAACATGGCAGCTGCCAGCAAGGTAACAGCTACAAAACAGCCAATTATGATTTTTGTGGTTTTCATCACCTCATCCAGACTGGCAGCTGGCCCACTAGGGACTTTGGCAGTGGGAACTGACACCTGCCTTGGAGTCTGGGTATTTTGGAAAAGCACAGTTGGTGTGGAGATAAAGACAGGTTGAAAGACTGAGGGTGAAGCAGGGACAGTGGGCTTAGGTTTAGGGGTCTCCTCAACTTTAGGCTCCAACACTTCCACTGTTACAGTTGTAAAGTAGGACAGATTAGACGTGTTGAGTTCAGCATTGCTGACGTTTAGGTAGGCAGAGGCATTGGAATTTCCTGCCATGTTGCTCACCATGCATGTGTAGACTCCAATATCTGATGGGAGAACATTGGAGAAGTTCAGTGTTCCATCATTAAGGACAGATATTCTTGGATGAGCAGAACCATGAGTTAACACAGTCCCGTTGGGGAGAAGCCATCGTACTGAGCTCATGGCAGCTGTACGGCACTTCAGCTCTGCCACTCTTGCTGCTGAAATGTTCAGATCCCTTGGAGCGTCATGTATGACCGGTGCCGAACACTGAAAGGTTGTCTGATCAACTTCCACCAAGTATCTTCCTCTCATGTTGACTGGGGTGTGGCAGCGTCCACAACAGGTGGAGTTTGTGGGAATGTATTCTCGGAGCCACCAAGAGAGCCAAACTACATCACAGTCACAGCGCCAAGGGTTGTGGTGTAGATGCAGCTCCACCAGGTACTGTAGAGGTGTGAAGAGGTTATGGGGCAGAGATGATAAATTATTATGGGCTAGATTGAGCTCCACCAAAGCTGTAATGTCATCAAATGCATTTCTTTCAATGTTTGTGATGGCAGAGTTCATAATCCAAAGTTTGCGTAAATTCTTTAGCCCGTAGAAGGCCCCAGGCTTCAGTTCTGGAAAAACATTCTCTGATATCTCCAACTCCTCTAATCCAACTAAAGGTGACAAATTAGGGAACTCTCTTAGACTGCACATCCCCAAATTTAGATACTTGAGGTTATGTAGACCCTCGAATGCTCCATCAGAGATGTACTCCAGCTTCCTCAGTTCACCCAGGTCCAGTCTCATGAGTGAAGGGACACGGTTAAAGGCATAAGAGGGAATGCTCTCAATAGGATTGTTTCTAAGCCACAGTTCTCTTAACTTTGAGAGATACTCAAAAGCTCCACTGGGTATGACTGTTAATCGGTTGTAAAATAGCTCCAAAGTATTGAGACTAGTCAAGCCATTAAATGCCCCTACTTCAATCTGCCTGATAGCATTCCTGCCCAGCTGCAATACTTCCAGATGATGTAGATGTCGGAATGTGTCTGCTTGTATAGTCTCTATGCTGTTTTCCATTAGGTTCAGGTATCTTGTGTTGGCTGGGATGTTCGGAGGGACCCTAATCAGGCCTCTGCGTGTACACACCACTTTGCTGAGCTGGTTAGTACAGGAGCACACACCTGGACAGTTTTGTGTGTTAACTGAGCCCATCTCAGGGCCTGTGGACTGGCACATACTGAGAGCAGGCACCATGAGAGAGAGCACGGCGAGCAGGGCTGTGTTCCAGGTAGGCTGCACACTAACCTGGCCCAACGGACTCATGGTGTAGAGGGCTCATTATTCTGCATGGTGGGGGGAGACGGGACACACCAAAGGACAGACCGCCCTAGCCTGGCTGGAGCAACTCGAGGCTCCCAACTTCCATCGGCAGTGCAGGAGGATTCTGCATCAACATTTTATGTGAAGGAATGAAGGGAGAAACAGACAGGAGACAGAATGAGAGAGATTAATAAAAGTGAAGCAGCAGATGAAAAGCAAAGCAGCAATGTGAATAAATAGGCTGAGTAATAGCACTAGTGACTTACCTCATTAGTTTCAAAGTGCTCTCTTTTGCTGTTTTCCAGAAGTTAAAAGCAGCAGTAGTGCATCCCATTTATTTATAACTCCTTTTCATTGAATGACATAAGATAAATGTTTTCTTGATATGGCCCTCTATTAATGAAGGGTACAAAATGGCTCCTGATATTTGAGACTCAGAACAGATTAAAAATACTCACAGCCAAAGGTAAGGCCATGAAGTCTTAGAAGGTGCCTGGATTCTGTGGTTTCCTACAAACTACCCCCTGTTAAGCTGCAGATTCCAAGATGCAGCTCCTCTGTGGATAAATCACAACCATCCATTCCGCAGTTAATTACAACAGAGGAGGAGGAGAAAAAGGTGACAAACTGACATTTAAAGGGGGAAAAAAATCCTCTTTTCTGTCAGCTTTTGGTCCATGTGTAGCCTCGTTGGTTAGTCGTCTGTTTGGGTGAGAGACCTCCCTTACTGTGACTTTGCCAAGGGCTTGTCGGTCGCTGATTAGCCCTGTTGTGACAAAGGCTGAGAGACAAAAAAAGGGTAAAGAACTCCCGGCACAGTCACCCCCCTCTTCTCTCATCCTCTGCGCTCCTCTTGCTTCCTCCCAATGTTGGGCTGGCCCTGGTCAGAGCAGCTGTATGCTGCCGTGTGCACAGTTAGCAGTAATCCGTCTATTCCTTCTGGGGGAAGGGGGTTTGAGGGTGGTGGGAGAGATGGTGGCGCTGAGTGGGGGCTGGGGAGGGGGAGCGGTGGGGATACGCTGCACTGTCAGAGCTTCGCAAAAGCTGACGGAAGAGGGAGAGAGCACTCTTGTCCTCGTCTGCAATGAGAGGAGAGAGAGGATGACGCTAAGAGGAGAGTGGAAGTGGGTTCCGCATCAGTATCCATAAACAGAGCAAGGTGTTGAGGATTCTTTTCTCCGCTTTTTCTTTGTCCCCCTGGATGGTCTCCTGCAGGGTTCCTCTGGCTTTCGTACTTGTTAATCTTTTCTCCGAGGCTGAGGTAGTAAGTTGTGGCAGTTGGCCATGTGTGAGGCTGTCAGACTTGCGGCTGGCTGCTGGACCACTGCAGTAATCGGAATAAAACACAGAGAGAGGGAATGAGAGAGCTTGAAAGAAGGAGAGAAAGAACCACTGACAGATCAAGAGCAAGAGAAAGGTAGAGTGTGTGAAGGAGAGTGAGAGGGAATGAGAGAGCTTGAAAGAAGGAGAGAAAGAACCACTGACAGATCAAGAGCAAGAGAAAGGTAGAGTGTGTGAGGGAGAGTGTGTGTGTGTGAGAGAGAGAGAGAGAGAGAGTGTGTGTGTGTGAGAGAGAGAGGGAGAGAGAGAGAGAGAGAGAGAGAGTGTGTGTGTGTGAGAGAGAGAGGGAGAGAGAGAGAGAGAGAGAGAGAGAGAGAGAAGAGAGAAGAAGAAAAGCCACGCGAGCACTCCAACGGCCAGCCCACCGTCACAGAAACAGCAGGACCAGCATTCCTACCCTGATCTCCTCTTCTTGTTTATTCTCCAATCTCTAGCACCCCCCCCCCCCATGTGTGTCGGTGTTGCAGGCAGCTAAGATGCACGTTCTGCCCCCTCCTTTTGTCCTTCAGTGGGAACGTGAATGTACTGCTGACGCACTCCTCTCAGCTGCTCATTCAGCCTCATATCAGTGCATTGGTTTGCAGTGTGTATTAACACTCGCAGTGCTTCTGTGTATTAACCCCCCCCCMCCCCCCCCCCTTATTTCTGCTTCTCCCTCTCTTCACTGTATTAATCTTTGCATCTCTTTTTTCTCTCCTTTCTCAATTTCTCACACATTCTGGTCCTTGCCTTCTTTCTTCACTCAAACTCTTTCTCAAGTCAGTCCTCCCCACTCACTTGAGGTCTAGACACTACCTCTTCACAGCCAGTCGATAAAATTAAAAACCTCTCCTTCCAGTGTGTCATACAGAGACAAAAAGGTCAGACTTTCAATTCCAGCTGTAGAGTTGTTTCACATTGTCTGTTATTTTCTCTCCATCGCCATCGTGAGCGCAGCAGTGTGCCAGAGTTTTCCACTGGAGATGGATTGCACTGCACTTTCTTACCTCACGTAAGATGCAGTTTGTTGAGTGTTTCACTTTTGCAGGACAAAAACAAAAAAGTAAATAAATAAAACAGCTGTTTGATGCATTTCCTTATTTTGCTTGTTGCGTGGAATTTATTATGTGAAAGAGTGCTTAAGGGTGGGACAAGGAGGTTGGGTCAGGGGGTCTGTGACATCACAGAGGGCTGAAATGCTGACTCTGAATCTGCCGGGCAGTCTTCTCTTGAGGGAAGAGAACGATGAAAGAGCTTGCATGCTGTTATCTCTCAGAAAGATGAGAGGAAGACGGACAGACAGAGGGAAGAAGACTTACTAAGATAGTTGGTGAAGAGAGGTGGAGCTGGGTGGGAGGAGAGATATCCGCGTCCTTGGTGAAGTAGGGGAAAGAGCCTATAGAAAGAAGAGGGAAGTGAGATAAATAGGGGCAGAGGAAAAGAATGAGGGAGACAGATGAATGCACAGCATGAACATCTCCTCGGTGAAACGGCACTGAAAGCTAGAGAATTAGAAGTGAGTAGTTGAAAAGAATGTGTTTAGATTAAGCATCATCCTGATGCACAGGAAGCCTTTATCTCTGTCTTTGATTATCAATCATGTTCCATCTTCTGCCTGTGGATGAGATCTATATAAAGGAAAAAGAACACAACTTAACATTTCTCTGTCAGTTTCCTTGCAATGTATTAGGGATGTAGTTAAAATGTTATTCTTTACCATAAAGATATTATTGGCAAATGAATGATCTGCATCCACGTTGTAAGGTTGAATGCTTAAAGGGAATTTTTTAGGATGCAAGACACTGTTAGAAAAGGAAGCACATACGATTATTGTGTTTCTATATGTGTGTCTCTTTTTACATCTTAACAAAATATGACACTAAAAATGTGGGGGTCTATTACTGGTAAAATGGTAAATGGCTTGAACTTAAATAGCCCTTTATCAAGTCCCTACGGACTTCAAAGCACGTTACACTTCAATCATTCACATTTACACACTGGTAATGTCCTTTGAAAATGTAAAACTAATAACTTTAGGGTGCATATATGAAACAATAAAAGTAATTTTCTGATAAAGGTCTAGTCACTAAATGATTTGATTTAGATGCATCAAAAGAATATTTCAGAGACTGAGCAGAACCACTCAAATTATGTATAAAAACAGAAATGAATCTGCCCTATACATATTTACAGGTTTTGAGAGTGAAAATACAATGTAAACAACACAAAAAAAGTCACATTTAAGTTATAAGTTGTTTTCTGCATCAAAGATTGACCTTAAAACCGCTTAAATAACAGGGGACAACAATGTCCAAAATAAAAGAAATAAAGAGCAAAATAAACCTCATTATGTTTAGAGGTAACAGGATGAAAAAAAGAGTGCAAGGGATGTAACTGTTCTTTACTTTAAAATGCTAGCTTTTTAAGTAATGGCAGAAAGACAGCAATGGATGGTTAGGGGATGGGCACAGTGTCAGAGATGAGGAGAAAATGAGAAAAAGATAGCTATTAGTTAGGGTGAGGTAGGAAGAGTTGGTCAGATAATTGATAGCCATGGGTGTAGCTTCTGTGTTAATGATATTATGAGGGCACAAGCATAAAAAGGTCAGTTAGCACATTGGATATCTATTTTTTTCTCCACTGCACATTTTTTGCTCATCTTAGTGAGTTTTTATTTAATGTTTTAGTTTTCTGTTTGTTTGTTTATATATATAT